ATCTCTCTGGGTTCCCTCATGCAAGCCAGAACCTGTACCCCCTAGGCTTTGGGTGCCTCCTCTTTTGTTTCTTTAGGAAGCATCATGATCCTCGGGAGGAAGGAAAGAATTATTACAGCTTAACGAGCCCAAAGCTGCAGTGTTTGCAACAGCCGGGTGACGCGCCTGCTTGTTTATCTGTTTGGACAGGCGTTCTGTTGCCTTTCTTCTTTGTTAGTGAGTGCTTCCCAGGCGCTAAGCCTCGTGCTAGGTGACTTCGAATAAACTAGCACTGAATGATCCAAATAGCTCTCCGAGAACTGCTTTTCTGGCCATAAAATGGACAAGGTACAGTCCTCAGTCCTATCAAGAGAAGCAGCAGATGTTTCTGGGTCAGATACTGAAAGCACTTTCTAGTTGTCTTCATCAGTGGGCTCGACGGTGGGTAATATCTAAATCGACAACTGGGCAGAGGGAGGAGACTGGAGGAGCCTTGAGAGCATCCGCCGGACCTGCTGAACTTGAGCTTGGGGTGTCTTCTCCCAGCTTCTTAGCGCTGAGGCTTTCAGGGACAAAGGGCGGGGCTTGCACGGAGTGGAGACCAACAGAGACTCTGAATACATCTGAGACCTAAAAGGGCTTAGCATTCATGGTATGGTACGACTAAAAGAGCACACTGCCCACCTCGCACGCTGGGAAAATGTCTCGCAGCTCGGAGCTGAGTACTGGGGGGCGGGGGGCTACACGATCCCCTCCCATGGGGATTTTGAGTTGCAAGATCTTCTTCATCTGGGTTCACAGCTTCAGGCCACACACCCTGAGTGGCTCTGACTTGGATATGTCTGTCCCCTGGGGGGAGATGGGGCCTATGCTGGGTGTTTAGGCCGCAAGGGCTCCACTCGTTCAAGGCACCGACTTGGAAGCGGAGCCCCGGACCCTGATCTTGCACTTCTCAGCCTCCAGAATCCTGAGAAAACACATTTTCTGTTCTTTGCAACTGCGCAGTTTGTGGGATTCTGCTAATAGTAGCACAGAGCCCAGGAAGGCAGGTGGAGAGCAGAAAACCATTGTGCCCCTGCTGAGTGCCCGCCGGGCCTCCTTCAGCTTGCTTTTTTCTTTTTTCTCTTTCTTTCTTTCTTTTTTTAAAAATTTTATTTATTTATTTGAGAGGTAGAGTTACAGTGAGAGAGAGAGAGAGAGAGAGAGAGAGAGAGAGAAAGTCTTCCATCTGCTGGTTCACTCCCCAAATGGCCACAACGGCTGGAGCTGTACCAATCCGAAGTCAGGAGTCAGGTCTCCCATGTGGGTGCAGGGTCACGGCTTTCCCAGGCCATAGCAGAGAGCTGGATCGGAAATGGAGCAGCCAGGACTAGAACCGAGCCCACATGGGATGCTGGCGCTCTAGGCAGGAGCTTTATCTGCTACACCACAGGGCCAGCTCTTCCTTTCTCTCTCTCTCTCTCTCTCTCTCTCTCTCTCTCTTTCTTTTCTTTCCTCCCTCCCTCCCTCCCTCCCTCCTTCCTTCCTTCCTTCTTTTCTTTCTCTCTCTCTTTCTTTCTTTCTTTCTTTCTTTCTTTCTTTCTTTCTTTCTCTATTTATTTGAAAGAGAGAGAGAGAGAGAAAGAGAGAAAGAGAGAGAGAGAGATCTTCCATCCACTGGTTCACTCCCCAAATGCCTGCAGTACCTAAGGTTAGGCCAATCTGAAGCCAGGAGCCAGGAATTTCATTGGGGTCTCCCAAGTGGAGGTGGGAGGGACAGGGACAGATATACTTGGGCCACCATCTGCCTCCCTGACATCTTAATAGGAAGCTGGCTCAGCATGGGTGGTGGCGACACACGCCAGGCACTGTGGGCGTCCCAAGAAGTGACTTAGCCCGCTGCGCCACAACGCCTGCCCCGCCTTCATCTTTGGGAAGAAATTTCCTCCACATTTTTTGGTCCCTTCCAAATGCTCTGGGATGAGTGAGGAGAAATCTGCCAGGATGGTGCTATGAGCTCAAATGTTAACATTCACTGGACTGAGGCTGGCACTGTGGCATAGTGGGTAAAGCCACTGCCTGTAGTGCTGGCATCCCATATGGGTGATGGTTCGAGTCCCTGCTGCTCCACTTCCAATCCAGCTCTCTGTTATGGCCTGGAAAAGCAGTAGAAGATGACCCAAGTGCTTGGGCCCCTGAATCTGCATGGAAGACCTGGATGAATCTCCTGGCTCCTGGCTTCAGATTGGCACAGCTCTGGCCGTTGCGGTCATCTGGGGGAGTGAACCAGTGGATGGAAGATGTCTCTCTCTCTCTGCCTCTGCCTCTGCCCTTCTGTAATTCTCCCTCTCAAATAAATAAATAAATCTTTAGGGGCCGGTGCTGTGGTGCAGTGGGTTTAACGCCCTGGCCTGAAGCGCCAGCATCCCATATGGGTGCCGGTTCTAGTCCTGGCTGCTCCACTTCTGATCCGGCTCTCTGCTATGGCCTGGGAAAAGCAGTAGAGGATGGCCCAAGTCCTTGGGCCCCTGCACCCGTGTGGGAGACCCAGAAGAAGCTCCTGGCTCCTGGCTCCTAGCTTCGGATTGGCACAGCTCCAGCCGTTGTGGCCAATTGGGGAGTGAACCATTGGATGGAAGATCTCTCTCTCTGCCCCTCCTCTCTCTGTGTAACTCTGACTCTCAAGTAAAAAATAAATAAATCTTTACAAAAAGACTTTGGGAACTGGAGTTAATAAATACACAATATGAAGTAAGTAGGATTCAATGAGTTTCATAGCTTGATGATTCCACGGACACCCTCTCTCCAGCTTCAGCAACACACACTCAAGTTTTCACAAAGCACATACATCCACCCACCTAGAGGTGATGCTTGCTAGCCTCCCTTGCAGCTAACATAGCCAATGATAATATTTCTTATGGCTACAACTTGGAAGTCAAGACAGAATTGAAATGCTTGATGACAGCAGTCTGAGTCGGGAGATGGGTTATAAGAATTAAATTATTCTGGGGTCCTTCTATTGTGTTGAAGGAGAGTAAATATATTAATGACATTTGCAGTCTGGTAAACACACATGCTACAATTATTTAGAATAGCTCCTAACAGGTGCAACCTGGACTTGAATTCAGGATGTCTGCCTCCAAGTAATTCTAGAGGAGAGAACGAGGGTCTCTCCTAGCATTTAGCTACAGAATAGGACTTCTGGGAGACCAGGACCCAATGCGTCACTGGCTGTGTCCTCAGCTCTCAGCCGCAGCAAAGAGCTGTCCGTCACAGCCTCCAGGCTGCCCCTCCTCTGAGCCTGTCCCCGTGCACCCGACCCCTTCCTGTTTCTGAGGCTCGCTCGCTCCACATCCCCATCCATCCACCTGCTGCTTGCTGGCGCCCTTCAAACAGCTTGTGCATGGCAGAAATGCACTCGTTCACCTGCAAATAGGAGGAAATGATCTGGCTTCTCCTCCTTGGCAAGCAGGAGGAAAGGACCCCTCGGGTCTGCAGAATGAGCCTCGGAGCCCCAAGACGCCCATCACGGGCTCCCCAGAACCCCGGCTCGTTTGGGTCTGTTCAGTCACGCTCAGTTGGCTGACTGCGTGTCCTTTCTGGGGACCACAGCCAAGTGTCCGGCCAATCTGGAAGCTCTTGGAGGTCTCAGACTACACAGCTCCTTCCTCCTGTTGAGGTGCTCTGCCCTCCTCGTAGGGCACCCTACTGGGAGATGCTTCATTAAGACTGAGGGACAGACACAGCTGGAGAATCCTAGGGTTCAAAAACTCCTTCGGGAGCCCTCTGAAAACAAAAAGAGAGAGAATTCCTATGGTTGAGGGTTGGAAGGAGCTCTGCACCCCTTCACCTGCTGTGAGTCTGGGGATGGCTTGTTCCCGTATGCTCAACACCCTCCCCGTGCCTGCAGCCCCAGAGACCTTGGCCTGGCTTCCAGATGGTTCTTCCCCCAGAGGCACGTGTGCTGGGGGCGTTTGTCTTCAGAGCAGTGAATTTGAGGGGAGCTGGCACCTTTAAGGGGAGGGGCCTCGTGAGTGGTGATTAGGCTTTGTGCTCTGCTCCAGAGGCATGTTCTTGCTGTCAGGAGAGCAGTGGTGGTGCGGGCAGCTGGCCCTCGCCTGACCCTCTCTCTTGCTTCCTGGCTCACTGGGTGACCCCTCCCTCTGGCACATGCAGCTGCCATGAAGCTGTGCACCAGGGCGGAGCAGACGGGGCTGCCCAGGTTCCGGGCTTGCAGCCTCCTCGACTGTAGATCGGCCTCTTCTTATAAAGCAGCCTGTTCCGGGGACTTCGTCACAGAAACACAAAATGGACCAAGACCCCAAAGATAGCTTCCTTGTGCCTACTTCTGTCTTCCTCTGTTCACTCCACATGCACAGCTGAGTGCCTACTGCATACTGAGAAACGCCCCATTTGTCTTCTGCTCCTTACCCAGGAGCTCAGATCCGCAGTTACTCTTCATTTTTGAATCTCATATCCCTATTAGTTCCGGAGCTATGGGGTCCTTGCCCCCGCAGCTGAGTTCACGAGCGCTTCGTCCACACTGACGCAGCTCCTTGGGGCTTCCTGCCCGGACAGCAGTCTTGAGCTAGAGCAGGTTTCTAACCCCCTCCCCGCCTCCGAGGGTGGGTCCTCTCCACTCTGAAAAACTTGATCTCCTCATTTCTTTCTACTTCCTGCTGCAGCCCAGCCCAGTGCCCCGCCTAACGTGCTCATGTCATTCTCCTTTCTCACCTTCCTCTTGACCCCCTGTCTATTCCTTGCCAGGCTCAGTACTCCTTTGTCACCTGCTCACAGCCGGGAAACTGGCAGGTCATCTGCCCAACCCCTCCCCAGCCCGTGGGAAGCTATAAAGGCCCCTGAGTTCCTCCACAGTTCGGCAAGAGGCACAGCCTTGCATGGAGGAAGCTTGAGGAAGCCAGGCATCAGTCCCTCGCCAGCCCCCACCCCCGCCCCCAGCTCAGAGTTTTTCCAAGGACACAGCCTTAGAAGACTCCAGCTCCTGGGAGCTCCAGCCTGTATCTTTTCACCTTGAACTCACTTTCTCAAGACCCTGAAGGTCTTGGCCACACCTGGGATCCAAGCATCTTTGCTTTGCAGCCATAAAGAGGCAAATGAAGAGGCAGAAAGGAAACAGCTTTCTTATGTACTGGTTACTATGGCACCTCCTACCGTTAGCAGCTGGTGAGTAATTGTATTGAAAAGCGGGTGGTCGGAGAACCTTGGCAGAGTTGCTGGAGGGAGGTGTGGTCTCTACGGGGACTAGCTCTGCCTCGCCTCCCCTCCCCTCGCTCGCATCATTGCGGTGTCACAATGCGCGTCACCCAGGAACACAGTAGTTATAACTGTGGGCTCGGGTCTCAGACTGCCCAGGTGCGGGGCTCACGGCTCCACCTGTTAACTGTGTACTTTGAGGGAATCGCCTCTCTGCACCTGAGTTTCTGCACCCTGCAATGTGTGATATGGCTTGGGCATTTAAATAAAAAGAGTTGGCTGTTTGCAACCATCACTCTTTTCTATTCTACAAACTCAGTCTCCCTCCTTAACCCTGAGTCAGCCTCAGACCAAGCAGAAAAGAATCTAAGAATCAAAATCGCTGCCCCCCCTCCCCCCGCCCCGCTCCATTTCCACAGTGCGGCACCGGTGCATGGCTTTGTGGGCCATTGCCCATGGCACAGATGGAAAGCATGGCATTTTAAAGAATGCATCGTTGCGAGCCATGATTAGCCCTCCTGGAATTGTGCCTCATTAATCTTGTCCACCCTATCTTCCCAGATTAGCTCTACTCCCTCTTCCCCTTGTCCCTCCTACTTCCAGTTATCCTAGTTTCTTGTAGAGTTTTACTCACGATTCTGACCTTAATGCCAATTGTACCATATCACATTGCAGATTTTTGGAGGGCCCTGCCCAAAACAGGGCTAAACTCTAATCCCATTAGTTCAAATAAGACTAAGGAAAAAAAATGGATGTTGGCCGCTTGGGGGCTGGGGCAAGGTTAGCAGTGAAGTGAGCCGCAGAAGAGATGAGCCGGCACAGGCTGGAGCAGCCAAGTGCCCTCACCCTTCTGGACGGTGAGAGGCAAAAACGAGGCGCAACGTTAACTCCTGCTGAGCCTCCAAGACTCTGAAAACCTTCCCTCCGCCTGCAGGCCCGGGTTTGCAGCTCTTAATCCTGGAAGATCATAGGCATGTGAGCTACTTCTAACTTGTTCTTCTGCCTTTGCCGTAGTTGTTAGGAGCCCTGGGAACCCCAGCGCATTTAGAACCACCTGGGCCTGGGAAATCCCTGGGCCCCACCTCAAACTCCGATTCGTGTAATTGGGAGCTTGGGAATCTGTGTTTTCCATGAGCTCCCCAAAGTGATTGTGATGCAGGTGTTTTCTGAACAACATTCTAAGAAGTATTTCTAAGGAGCAGTACTACTTAATCAGTGCCTATTAGTCTCACCTGCTGCTGTAATACTTTATGATACCTTTATGTGTATGGATCTTGGACAGCAGAACATGGAATAAGCTCATCTACCAGTAAAACCAGGCCACGGAGCTTTGGCATTGGACTGTGTGGGAGAGTGACTTAGCTTAGTCTCCGAAAGTGCAAATTCAACGGCTGGATTCAATTTCCTGTTCCCCTACTTACTGGCTGTATGAATTTACGCAAACATCAACATTTATCATCCTCAATTTCATCATTTTTTTTTGGTGATAATATATCTATGTGATAGGGTTAAAGCTGCACTAAATAGCATTCTTCATGTCATACATTATTCATATAATGAATTTTAACTAAACATTGAAAATATACTCAATATAATTAGTCACTTATATGATTATCTTCAAAATTAACTTCTTTGAGGATAGAACATTTACGAACACTGGGGCAACTTCCACTACCTTTGGCATATCCACTCCTTTAGGAACCAGTCCAACGTCCAGTGCGGCAATCACATCGGCCAGCGCTGTAGCCAGTGCAACCTCCGGTGAAACCAGCACATCCTCTAATGCCACATCCAGAGAGATGTCCAGCGGGACCAGCACCACCCCAGATGCAGCACCTGGTACAACCTCGGGGGGGACCAGCACACCCTCCAACCCCACCTCCACTGCGGTCCCCAGTGAACCCAGCACAACCTCCAACCCCACCTCTACTGAAGTCTCCAGTGAGCCCAGCACACCCTCCTACACTGCCTCCACTGTAACCTACAGTGAATCCAGCACACCCTCCTACACTGTCTCCACTGCCATCTCCAATGAGCCCAGCATGACCTCCAACTTTGCCTCTACTGTAACCTACAGTGAGCCCAGGACACCCTCCAGCCCTGCCTCCACTGTGGTCTCCAGTGAAGCCAGCACACCCCCCTACACTCTCATTCCCAGTGAACCCAGCACACCCTCTAACACTGTTTTAACTGCCACCTCCAGTGAAGCCAGCACAACCCTCTACACTGTCTCCAATGAGCCCAGCGTGACCTCCAACTTTGCCTCCACTGTAACCTCCAGTGAACCCAGGACACCCTCCAGCCCTGCCTCCACTGTGACCTGCGGTGAACCCACCACAACCTCCAGCCCTGCCTCCACTGCGGTCTCCAGTGAACCCAGCATGACCTCCAACACTGTCCTCACTGTGACCTCCAGTGATCCCAGCACACCCTCCTACACTGTCTCCACTGTGGTCTCCAGTGAGCCCAGCATGACCTCCAACTTTGCCTCTACTGTAACCTACAGTGAGCCCAGGACACCCTCCAGCCCTGCCTCCACTGTGGTCCCCAGTGAAGCCAGCACACCCCCCTACACTCTCATCCCCAGTGAATCCAGCACACCTTCCTACACTGCCTCCACTGTAACCTCCAGTGAACCCAGGACACCCTCCAGCCCTGCCTCCACTGTGACCTGCAGTGAACCCACCACAACCTCCAGCCCTGCCTCCACTGCGGTCTCCAGTGAAGCCAGCACACCCCCCTACACTCTCTCCACTGTGATCCCCGGCGAAACCAGCACACCCTCCTACGCTGGACCCAGTGAAAACTCCAGTGGGGCCAGCACAGTTGTCAACACTGGACCCAGCACGATTTCTGGTGGGGCCACTACTACCCCCAACTCTGGATCCGGTGCAAGCTCTGGCAATTCTGGCACACCTGCTCCCACTGGAACACAAACAAGCCCCAACAGAATTAGCACAAGTGTTGCTACTCCAGTGAGTGGGGTGAAACCTAGTGGTTCCTTGGAGCCATGGGAAATCTTCCTCATCACCCTGTTCACAGTGGTGGTGTCTGTGGGACTCCTTGCTGCTCTCTTCTTCTGTGTGGTGAGTGCCTAGTACGTCAGCAAATGTGTGGGGGAAGAGCAGAAGGAACCTACAGAAAGGGGGTCCAAATAGTCAGGGTATGGGTAGGAAAGGGAGACCAGGAGACAGTTACAAAGAGGAAGCCGCTGGCCCATGGGGAAAGGAGCAAGGACTGGAGGGAGGACTGTTGAATGAGGGTACGGTTGGAAGGGTGAGAAGATTCTAGAAAAGTCCATGGTGAAGCCTTGGGAGGGAAAGATCCAGTACTGAGACTTGAATCTTCTTTTTCTAGAGAAAGTGCCTGTCCCGGGAGAGCACCTCTGACACAGCTCTCTACCGCCCCCATTTCCCGAGCCTTGGCTGGGACACGTACAGGGTCAGCCATGGACCTTGGTGGAGCCTTGACAGCGTCTGGAGGAAGCCAGGCTCCACTGTAGCCTTGGAGATGGATGGGGCACGTGGTGGACCCTGAGGGTCCCACTCTCTGCCGAGGACGCTCACCTGGGGGACCAGCGACCTGATTTTCCTTTTGTTCAGCCCAGAAGATTCCTCTGAGTGTTGTTTGGGTCCCTGATGCTTCCTCCCTTCTCTTTCCTTTACCAGAAACTGAAAAGAGGATAATAGGTTGGTCACTGAGCTAAAGAATAAATGTGGCCGGGGCCGGCACTGTGGCGTAGCAGGTAAAGCTGCCGCCTGCGGTGCTGGCATCCCATATGAGTGCTGGTTCGAGACCTGGCTGCTCCACTTCCCATCCAGCTCTCTGCTATGGCCTGGGAAAGCAGTAGAAGATGGCCCAAGTCCTTGGGCCCCTGCACCCATGTGGGAGACCTGGAAGAAGCTCCTGGCTCCTGGCTTTGGATCATTGTAGCTCCAGCCGTTGCAGCCATCTGGGGAGTGAATCAACGGATGGAAGACCTCTCTCTCTCTCTCTCTCTCTGCCTCTCCTTCTCTCTGTGTAATTCTGTCTTTCAAATAAATAAATAAATAAATCTTAAAGAATAAATGCAGCCAAGATAATCTGTGTGTGCACAGAGTGGGTATCTACAGATGTGAGTTAAATATCTCAGTTTTCTGCGAGAACCCCATGCTCAAATCCACCTGGCAACCCAAACCTCCATAGTGAAACTCAGCAAAAAAAACAAAAACAAAAAGCCAAGCTCGCTCATATCAGTGCATCCCCATTTTCTAATCCTTCTTTCCCCAAGCAGGACTCTGCACCCCCAAGGCTCGGCAGGAGCACTGAACAGGGGGAGATGAGAAGGGAGGGCAAGGGGCGAGGCTCCACGTGTTCTTGGCTGAGGCCCATGGTACCCAGAGATGCAGGCGTGGTGCAAAGACAGCCAAGAGCCCTGCAAGGTGGAGGCCGCGCAGTTCCAGAGTCTGCGGGCAGGGGGTGTGTCCACCCAAGGTCACGGTTCCCAGGGCATGCACTTGTGCCGCAGACCCAGGCTGCTCGTCGGGAGGCAGGTGCTAGCTGACACTCGTTTCTCCCTTGCTTCCCCAAGGGAAAGACTTTCTGGCCTGCTAAGGTTTAACCTCCAAGAGATATGGGCGAGACCACTGGGCGGGGGGATGCCTGAGTCTCGTGAGCCCCCTCCTGTGGCTCCCCGTCGTGGGTCTGGGGAGGTGGCTGTCTGATCATCCCTGTCTCGGAGGACACAGGACAGCTGCTTTGTGGAGGAAGCTCCTCTGACTCCACCAAGGGGCACGATGGCTCCTACCTGGGACGGAGCCCTCAGGGGACAACTCACAGTTTGTTGGTGGCTTCACCCCAGCATGCAGCAGTAGGACCTGCTCAGCTTCCCCCCACTCACTGGGCTTTCCTAGGGTCAGCAAAACCCAACAGTTGGAGCTTCCCACGGAGGCCATGTTGTTGGCAACCATCATCCTCACCATCACCATCTCAGCAACCAGAAAGGGAAGACAAACTGAACACCTGAAAAGGTGCCGCCCATTAGTGGGAACCGTGGGAAGCAGTATGTGAAAGATACGAAAATAAATAGGATCAGGCAAGGGAATCCAATTAGATCGCTAAAATAGGCATGCAACATGGATATGCAAGTTTCAAGTTTTAATAGACAAATGGAAGGAGGCTGGCCACAGCTGAGAATATTAGCACCTAATCTGGAAGAGCAAGTGGGAGAGAGAACTCAGCTAGCCACATCAACACGGGGCTGAAAATCACCTAGAAAACCTAAGACACAGGGGTGGGCATGGGGGTGGGGTGAGCCCAGGAGATCTGAGTGTAAGGCTCAAAGCTGGGGAGAAGAGAGGCAATAGAAGTAAAGGAACCTAGAGAAGAGATGCGGGTCTACAGGCTGAAAGGTACAGCTCTGTAAATATACTAAAAAGCACGAGTCATCCATTTTAGACAGGTGAGCTACACGGTATGTAAATCGTATCTCAAGAAAGCTGTTAAAAATAGGACCAGATGCACCATAAGGTAAAAATTCTGATTCTCAAAGAAAAACAAGTACCTCAAGGGAATGGGTGCTTTGAGAAAGGGGGTGTAATCTGAGATGGGGAACCCCCCCTCCTTTGAAACAGGCACCAGCGACCGTGGGGAGGATGGGAAGCAGTTTGCTCACGCCAGCAGGCCCAGTGGAATTGTCTCCAACAAGACTGAGCCCCTGCCCAAGGGTTTCTTACAACGTTTGTGGGTTCATTGGCATCACACTGTAACCGTCACAGCATTGGTGGGTTCAAGTTGTAGCCCACGTGACTTAGGACCACGTGTGGGGAATGGTCTACGTGCCTTGTGACCACACTTGGGGTATTTCCCCAAGGTTAGTTGCTAATTGCAAGCAGCCATTCTTCAAGTTTGTCTCAGTGGTCCTGTTTTTTAAAATTTTTTTACCTTTGCCACGGTAGTTTTGTTTCCCCTTCAGGGGAATCCCAGGTGAGCACTACAGCTCACCGATCATTCATGGGGCCACACTCATGACTGCAAATAGCTCGTCACTCACGCAACTGGGGCGTGTGTGCCGAGTTGGAAAGCACCACTGTGCCGCTTGCATCATGGAAGGCACTTACTCCTCTAACCTGGCAAAGCCCCAGCCCACCAAGCACATTTTTTTAATATTTAGTAAATATAAATTTCCAAAGTACAGTTTATGGATTACAATGGCTCTCCCCCCCATAATTTCCCTCCCCCTTGCACCCCTCCCATCTCCCGCTCCCTCTCCCATTCCATTCACATCAAGATTCATTTTCAATTATCTTTATATACAGAAGATTGATTTAGTATATATTAAGTAAAGATTTCATCAGTTTGCACCCACACAGAAACACAAAGTGTAAAATACTGTTTCAGTACTAGTTATAGCATTACTTCACATTGGACAACACATTAAGGACAGATCCCACATGAGAAGTAAGTACACAGTGACTCCTGTTGTTGACTTAACAATTTGACACTCTTGTTTATGGCATCGGTAATCTCTCTAGGCTCTAGTCATGAGTTGCCAAGGCTATGGAAGCCTTTTGAGTTCGCCAACTTCAATCTTATTTCGAGAGGGTCATAGTTAAAGTGGAAGTTCTCTCCTCCCTTCAGAGAAAGGTACCTCCTTTGATGGCCCCGTTTTTTCCACTGGGATCTCACTCGCAGAGATCTTTCATTTAGGTCTTCTTTTTTTTTTTTCCCCAGAGTGTCTTGGCTTTCCATGCCTAAAATACTCTCATGGGCTCTTCAGCCATATCCGAATGCATTAAGGGCTGATTCTGAGGCCAGAGTGCTGTTTAGGACATCTGTCATTCTATGAGTCTGCTGTGTATCCCGCTTACCACGATGGATCGTTCTCTCCCTTTTTGATTCTATCAGTTAGTATTAGCAGACACTAGTCTTGTTTGTGTGATCCCTTTGACTCTTAGACCCATCAGTGTGATCAATTGTGTTTCCAAATATGTATTTTTTTTTTTTTTGATAGGCAGAGTGGACAGTGAGAGAGAGAGAAACAGAGAGAAAGGTCTTCCTTTTGCTGTTGGTTCACCCTCCAATGGCTGACGCAGCCAGCACGCTGCGGCCGGCGCATCGCGCTGATCCGAAGCCAGGAGCCAGGTGCTTTTCCTGGTCTCCCATGCGGGTGCAGGGCCCAAGGACTTGGGCCATCCTCCACTGCACTCCCGGGCCACAGCAGAGAGCTGGCCTGGAAGAGGGGCAACCGGGACAGAATCCGGCGCCCTGACTGGGACTAGAACCCGGTGTGCCGGCGCCGCAAGGCAGAGGATTAGCCTATTGAGCCACTGCGCCGACCCCAACTTTGTATTTTTAATATTTATGGAAGGCATTGGCCCTTCTGGTAAATGTTTTCTTAAGTTGTTATCTAATGGTTGAAACTGTTTGCTAAGTTTTCATGTGATATTGCTATTGTCAGTAAGCGATCTGGGACTTGTTCCCTCATTTCTCTATTCTAAGCCCAACTTGTTCTCTCATTTCTCTGTTCTCTTCGAGGTAGGAAACTATTTCTATTATGAAGGAATCTCCAGATTCAAAATTTGATTTTAGATCTTATAAAAGAGATGGCTAACATTTTTCTGCAATAGCATAGCCAAAATAAGAGCTTAAATTATAATTTCTTAGCTAGATTTACTTCGCCATCGGTGAGGTAAACAGTAAACAGGAAAGACCTCCCTTTCAGAACAAAGGGAAAGAAAGTTTTAAAGTGAGAATATAGCTTTCCTGACGGGGCATTATCTGCCTCAACATAAACTACTATCAGAACATGCCTGTAACTATAGACTTCTAGTTTAGGCCACCGAAGATTAGAGATGGGACTTGAGCACCCCCTTGACTTGCATCCTCTTGTCTGCTTTGGAAGAACCCAGGGGGAGAAGAAAGCTAGGCATCAGAAGCAATGGGTGGCAGGCCTATTGATGGTTGTTCTGTGCAGTGATCTGCCCTCAAGGAGACCCAACAGGCCAGTCCACTGCAGTGTCTTTCAGTGTGGTAAGCCTGGGCTTCAGCAGAAATCAGCTTGTGAAGAGCCCTGGCAGCTCTGCCAGCTGAGAGTTGGATCACTGGAAATGGACCTGCCCTGGAGTCGAAGGACTTCAGGTCAGAGCCACGGATCTTATTGGCTCTAAGCTGAAAAGCCCTTCACTCAGCCCAGCTTCCAAAGTGACCACTGCAGCTGAGGGGACAGCCAACCAGGGTCAGCAACACTGC